GCAATCCACTCACCTCAGCCTCCCAAGGCACGGGATTACAGGCTGAGCCACTGAGCCCAGGTGACCCTCCCATTCTTAAAACTTGAAACTACATTTGCTTTATGAGTTCCTTCCTCAGGAAACTGACCCTAAGGCAAGGTACTAAAACTTGCCAGATCACCCCATTCAGACAATGAGACAGACACCAGACTTGTTTGGTCATGATTGCTTCCTTAACCCTCCCCATTTTCTGTTTTCCCACACATAGCTACATTCCTGCCCCACTATATAAACCCATGACCTCAGTGGGATTGGGGGACAAATTTGAGACTAAATCTCTCATTATCCTTGACTGATATCACTTGAATCAAAAGCCTTCTTTCCTGGCAATACTTGTTTTCTCAGCAGTTGGCTTTCTGTGTGGAGAGCAATGGGACCCAACCAAACCTCTGGCATTTCAGTAACAACTCTAAATAATATGCAGAAGACAGACCTAGCTCAAAATCTGGCCTGAGTATAAAAAGTTTGTCTCCAAATTTAGATCTATCATTACACTTTTCACTCAAGATGCTTAAATAGTTTACTTTTAGTTAATCTTTTATTATGTCTATATCCAATAAGAAAGAAAATGATAGAAGTGTATGGGACAGATATGTGCAGCAGGGAGTTTGGTGTTTGTGAGTAAATCAGAATTTAAAGTTTACTAACATGGGGCACATACTCTTGAGCTTCTTTCCTTCTCATGGAGCCTGAGCATTTGCTCATGCAGCATTATTTTCTTAGAAACTCACCTCCTCTACTCTCCTGTAGATATCCTGACAACTTTTCAAGCTCTATTCAAATATAACTTCTTGTGTGATCATTCCCTCATAATGATCATCTCCTTCTACCTGTTTCCATTAACTAGAACCTCTTCTGTTTTCTGACAGTATTCTGACCATACTCCTACCACAATACACTTCAGGTGTGCTGTTAAGCTCAGCTCTTATCTACTGCATTAGGTAGATGCTTCTTGAAGGCAAAGGTGATGTCTTTTTTATCAATTGTTTTCAAGTGTAGCTCAGTAGGAAACAATGGAGGTTGTGAAAAGTTTACATTATTTATAGAGGCTATAGAAGGCTACTGCCCTTGTAATTCATGTTACACCGCCTGTTACTTACCAAGGATATGTCAGGAAAGTGCAGTCATGCATCATATAATGATGAGAATACATAATGAGAACTGTGTCACCAGGTGATTTTGTTACTACGCAAGCATCATGGAGTGTTCTTACACAAACCTAGATGGTACAGTCTGCTACACACATAAGCTGTATGGTGTAGCCTATTGTTCATAGGTTACATATCTGCACAGCATGTTACTGTAGTGGATACTGTAGGCAGTTGTTACATGGTGGTAAGGTACATAGTAGAAAAGATACAATAAAAATGTGGTGTGGAACCCTCATTGTATATGTGGTCTGTCATTAACCAAAACATTGTTTGTGGCATATAGCTGTATTTACTAGACAAAGCTATACTGTGCATGTGCCAAAGCTGTTCATGGTTGAACTGCTGAAGCATGAACCCCAGGTTCTCCCAGACATGAGCTAAAATCTAAGCAACAAACCCAACTATGGAACAAATAACTTCTGAATTTTCTGTAACAGCTGGTGCAGCCTAGCCTACATATATGCATTGCCAAGAGCTTGCTCATGCTCGGGGGAAAGCTTAGACTTCAGGCAGGTGTTTGTGTGGCAGAAAAAGGCAGAGAAAAGTTTACAGCAAGAGTGGGCTCCTTCCCCTTTCTCTCTGCCTATAGTTGTAGCTGTACGATTGCATGTGGTCACTCCCTTGCTCAAGGAGATGGCATAGCGCTCTGCAGTACTTGGCACTGAGGCCTTAGCATTGGACATACATGGTTATAAGTCCTCTCTCTGTCACTACCCTATCACTTAATCTTTTTAAGTGTTCATTTATAAAATTGGCATTATATAAAAATTTCGTGGACAGTGCCCTGTGTATTTTAAACC